GAGGTTAGCTGCCAGCCATCGCAGAGCTCTCGCATGCCTGCTTAAACGTATTGCAGATCTGCGCTTGGCTACCGAAAGGGCAAAGGTTTCACTTCAGGTTTGGCAGTTGTGGTGGTGGCAGTTCGTGGCTGTTGGCTTCTGCTGGGCAGTGCGGCAGGTATCCCCCCATCAGTGACTGCGTAGCAGGAAATGGGCCTTGTGATTAATGAACACTGGCATAAGTCATCGGTAATTAATAATTAATATTTAATACTTTTACAAAAGTAAAGTAAAATAAGCAATGTTATTCCCTGGCTCTCTTCCAGCATCAGAGGCGAGAGCAGGAGCTGCGAAGGCAACAAGAGTGTGAGCAGAGGTGGCCGGAGGCTCAGGCTGTGCAGAGGAAAGAGGAGAGGTGTAAAGAAGACAAAAGGGCTGTGGAGGATGAACGGTTCGTAGCAGATGGACAGAGGAAATCGGAGAAGAAGCAGGTATGAAAAGACTGTTTACCAACAGCAATTGCAGCTCCCTGGTCCTGTAGCTGATGTCTTTCTCAGTTCCCTGGGGGTGTTCCCATCCTCTGAGTCACTGACCAGAGAGGGACTTTTTTTAATGCATTTACTGCTTCTTGTTCTCAGATTCAGCCTCTTTTAGAGTTCACTTATGTGTTACTGAGTCATGGTACAGCAATGACACTGCCTCTCCCACTTCTGTCCTTGCCGTTGTTTCTCCCTCCTGAAAGGGTCTTTACCCTCAAAGCTTCCACCGTCAGCTCAACCTAAGCTCACATCTCCAGACTCCAGTTTGTGTTTGGGCTGTAGCCAGGACCGTGTCTTTTTCACAAATGAAAATGGAGAGGAGGTTAATTTAATGCTGAAGTCTCATTGTCAAGGCTGGCACCTTGTCCACAAAATGATCATCAGCGGAAAACTGATTTGTGATCAAACAGAAGCATGGAGTGTTTGATTGAAGCCCTCTGGTTTCAGGAAAAGTAAAAAGAAAAAGTATGATTTTCTGACATACTGCCTGAAAAGCCAAAAACAGAGTGTCTGAGGTCACTTTATGTTTCCTCTTGCTCGAGGTTGTGGCTCTTCTGTCAGCCCTGCTGGAACTGTGGTCGCTTTGTTCTTTGAAAAGCCAGTATTTCCAGCGGTCAACTTGGTTGTCCTCCAAGGCATTGTTCTCTCTGAAGTTCATCCCTCTTTGTTTTCAGAAGGTGGAAGACATGCAGCAAAACAGGAAGGTGCATCGAACTCTCCCCAAAGATCAGACACAGCTGCTGTCTCTCCAGCATGACCACAAGCAGAAGAAGAAGGAGCCTTCCAAGAGTTCAAATTCAGCTGTGCATCCTCCACCAAGCAGCACAAGTAAAGAGGTACCGTCTTGGCCAATGTCACATTTTGGTGCTTTGCAGTTTATGGTGCTGTGGTAATGCTGAAGCAGAGAACAGACTGATCATTAAACCTAAACCTGGAGCTTGACCTTACTACATGCTTACGCTGCAGTAAAGCCTTTGGTCTCCACTAATACAGAGGATAAGGGAAAGGAAAGGTTGCTCTGTGACTTCTACTAGAGTTCAGAGAAGGGTTTGACTAGTGAATGGGGGAACAAGGTCCTTCTGGTCAACCAGGTGTCACTCCCTTGTCTTCCAAAGAGGAATGAATTAAAGTAGCATCATCTGAGATTTAACAGATGTCTTTGCGTGATTTCGGGTCCACATAACTGACTCAAACACAGAACGGCGTCATGCCTCCCAAGCACAGATCTCTGTGCCCCAATGTTGGACTGTGATGCCTTTTCTTATTCTTTGTCTCCCAGGATTTTGTAGATAAGATTTGATGGATCAGGGCTAGCCACATATAGTCCTTGATTAAGATCTGTAATCCACTTCGCTCTTTTGCTAACTCTGAAAGTATTTCTGCCCACCAACTTGTTCTGTTTACTGTTATGATATTGTGGAATCCCATGGGTCCATTTCACATATTTCTCATCATTCCTAGTACATTTACTTTTCTTTTTGATATCGTCCCAACTTGTGAGCCCACTTCTACAGCCGATGCAATTTGTTGTGTTACTGAAGTCTGGATCGATCTCAAAAATCTCAGCAGCTCACAGGTGTCTCCTCGGGTGGCTGTGTCCAAGTAGAATGGTGGATGTGATGGTCTCAACATTCATGGCAAAGCATCTTCCCAAAACACCCAAGCAAAGGCATGAGGAGGACTCATACACATGTATGTAGGAGGAATGCAGAGCGCTTCTTAATATCTTGCTGCAGTCTTTAAACAAGTGCATTCTTTGTCACCTCTTGGTGCGTGTGCACGTGTGTGTGTGTGCTGCAACTGGTTCCCGTAGCTGAAATTTTCTATATGATAAACAGTTAAATGAAACTGCTAGGATTGTTGAAATGATGAATTTTAAGAATGGAATAGAGTCTGCAAACAGCTAAGCAGCAATATGAAATCAGGAAAACAAAAGATATTAAGCTCCTTGTTAGAGTAGCAGTTTGTGAAAACGAGAATAATTCTGTTTGAAGTACAACTTAACTGTCAGAAACCCAAATGCCCTAGCTCAAAGGCCTGATTGCCTTGACTAATTAAACAAATCATTACTGAAATTTGAATGAACTCCTCTTGAAATCAGTATTTGTTTGATGGTGGAGGGCTGGGTCTTTTTCCAGCTGGGGAGTAAATTGGGTGTGGACAGAGAAGTAAGCTGCTTTTGCTAAATACACGACATCAAAGTCAATGTAAATGCGTTGCCTTTGCTGGGCTTTCAGTGGGTGGGGAGAAAATGCTGCTCGGTTGAGTTGGTTTAACTTTCTTTTCTACTTCATTGTAGTTAGAAGTCAAAAGAACTGCAAAATGTCAGCTTAAATACTCATCTCTGGTTTTGGCATGTGTTTTGTAAATGACAGCTTTGTAGCAGAATGAAATGTATTATGGAATTTAGTGTGCAGACACTGTTAACTTTTAATTTAGTGGTGAAATAAAATACCACTAGTTGTAGATAAAGTGCTGCCTGCCTTTTAGGTTCATAGCACAAGGCTATTGTCATTAAGGCTACCATAATATGCTCTAGTTTTAAGGACAAATTATTTTACAATATAACTTACTTAATCTCAGAACTTCTTGGAAGTCACAGATCCTTCTACTAAAATTGTAATTAGTGGTGCAGGGTTGCATTTTTTGGTTGAAGTTTGAGACTTTGTAATTATGTCAGCAGTCATAATTGTTCACAACAATTTGAAAATGCTTTAAAGTTTTGACTTTTTTTGACAGTGATAACTCAATGAATTTGTTCTTGTTGGTATTGATTTTTTTTTCCTCTATTTATTAGCCAAAGGGATGCTAGTCTCTCTGTTGGGAGAGATCTACATGGGGCTAGAGATAGCCTTCTCAAAAGTGAGTTTGTTTGCATACTTTTCAGGGCTCAGTGGCTTTGCAGGACCGATTATTGATATACAAAAACTCTCCAGAATTATTGTTGCATTGAGGCATTAAAAACAAACAAACAAAAACCCCTAAGGCCCTCCAAAGCCTCAAGTTTAATGTTTGAGGCCACAGAACCCTTTCTTGGGAGTTCCTCATCTTTGCCATTGGGCTCATCCTGTCGCAGGCAGGTCCGGGCAGGTTTTCCGTGACGTGTGCCCCTGTGAGCTCGCTCTGTGCTATGTCGGGTCCCACCGGCACTGGAGGGGATGAGCTGCGAGGCAAGGACTCCCAGCTTGGGCTTGACACTGCACCAGTTCAGTGCCTGGCTAGGGGCTGGTGTCCGTTCTGGGAGCCCAGAGCTTTGGCTGCACGAGTTTGCATCTGGATCGTAATGTATTGTATGAGAGCACCCTTCGGGCACAGAGGTGGTAGGTAAATTATCATATCTAGCTTAGTGAAACCACTCTAATTTTTACATTTTCTTTCTTGCGCATAAGATTTGCCTTTCTTTATTAGGAGTTACAAGCGATGACAATCTGGCCTCAAGAGTGGTATAACGATCAAGTTCACTGAAGCTAGAATTTCATGGTATTTGGCTGTGGTTGCTTGTTTTAATAAGGTTTTTTTGTGGGTTTGGGGTTTTTTTCTGTGTTTTTTTTTCTCCCCCATCAAAATCCGTGAGACTAAATGAAATCATTTTCCATCTCCTCAGCAGTTTCCTGGGCTGTGTTAAGAATATGCTTACCTTCCTGACATTGACACAAACATCCAGATATAGTGAGAGATACCATTAAGAATGCCAACCCAGACACAGATAACTGGGTAGTTTTATGGCATTAATATCTAGTTTACTCTCTAGAGCTGTTTCTAGGTTGCTGAATTGGAAGATATGCTGAAGATTCACATCAGAAAATGGAAATTAGTCATGTTGAATGAAACTGGAAGGATCAGTGGGGTCAAAATCGTAGGATAAAGGTTTTTGTAATGAGCAATGCCCTCAGGAAATAAAAGGACCTTTATTCCTTCTAGATCATGTTGTTCAGTCTTTTCCACAGTGCAAGTAACGTATGAAAAGATAGTGTTAAAAGTGTTTTAAAGTAGAAAACAACATGCAGTAATGTCAGCGTTGTAGAAGGTAATACGTGCACAGCAAAACAGGCTACGTATTGTCAAAGATTAGTAAATACAGGGAAATGATTCCTCCCAGCTAAAATCCCAGCCTACAGCAAATGCGGTGGCCTAGAATACAGCAGATGGCAAATCAAGCCCTTTTCCTTGCTGCAGTTTGGAAACTTGATGGAAAAGGAAGGTTTGCAAACAGAGAGACAATAATGGTTCGGATTGTGCCAGAGCTGACCTCTCCCTGATGGGAAGATCCACCAGAGTCAGTGGGCACTGTGCTGCTGTTGGACAACCTCCAGGCTGCAAAGCCTGAGGCTCAGTGTGCCACGTGCTGCTGCTTTTCTCTTTCTCAGGTCGAGGACCGGAAAAAGCAAAGTGACAGCATCCAGCCTTCCCTCCAGTGGGCAGCGGCGCTGGGGCACGAAGCCATGCCACGCGTCGGGACGGGGTCCGGCAGCAGTTCCAGCCCGTGCACCCCCGCGCTGCAGAGAGCTGTGGTGGTACAGGTACGGTGCTGCTGCCCCAGGTGGGGAGGAGAAAGCAGGGGGGGGTTCCTGAGCAGAACAGCACATGGGAAACCCAATTCCCTTCGCTCCTGGCACAAATAACTGAGGCCTGGGCAAACCGGCTCAGAGGATTTTAGGAGCACGTGGTGGCACTAAGTTACACGTGGAATTATACACAGGCACTGCAGATCAGGGGTAGATATCTGTTATTTTTATATACTTGATGCCTGATTGCTGCTTCTGTGGTATTACTCATAGAAGTTTTACGGAAAGCCTGAATGACTGCGCTGTTGCAGTCCTTGGATGATGTATTATTTATATGGTGCCATAAATACATGTGGCACTTCACAAAACAAGTCCAAAGCCAGAATTTTTATCCCTGAAGACCATATACACAAGCAAGCTCATTAGGGATCTTAAGAAATAATCTAGAAGTATATGGAGATGCAGTAAGGACCAAGGTCACATTTTGCCTGTGGATAGAGCCCAGAAGGTCTGTGACTTGAAAAATTTCAGTATTAGAGGTAGAAGTGGTACCTAAACAGTACCTGTACAGTGAAAGCACTCTGATAAAGTTCTGCATTGGAATACTTCTCTCAAAACATTGTCTCCTGCTGTTTCTACCAGTTCTGGGAGAGGCGATTCAGGGTTCTCGCCGTGTGCCCAGAAACTCGGCTTGCTTTCCATGTCCTGCTCTTCCACAGGGTAGGAAATAAATGGCTTAGACTGCAGTTACTTGTTTCTCCAGTCTCTTGTGAAGGGACTGTAAGCATGTGGGAGCAAAAGAAAAACAAGACAGCAAGTAGAAATGGAATAAACTCCTGTACGTGTGAGCACACCTCATTGAAGCTGGCAATCTCCACTTGCTTTGGAAACGCGCAGTGGCCGAGATAATCGTATTGGCTTCACAGTTCCCCACAGCACGTCGTTTGTGCGTTCGTTCGTCCCCTCAACGAGGATATACAATCATAGCACTTGTTTTATTCTTGGCAGCTCTCAGTTTGTCCTGGACTCCTGGATGAATGGATATACAGCCTCTGATCCATCTCACCAGTTACTTCTGTTGGATTTAGCTAGTGGGACCGGCAATGGAGTGGCATGTGGATCAGGCTTAGGCATTGTTTGTGTGCTGCTGTGGCATCTTGTGGCCTCTTCTCCTTGTGTGTTGGATCTTGGAGTCAAAGGGGGAGGATCAGACGGCAGAGGAGAGTGGGTTATTAGTTTCAGCTCAGCTGCTTTCAGAGCATTGTCGTGCTGCCTCACCGCTGAGCCCTAGCAGCAGGGTGGGCCCGTGTACTTCTTTGAGGCCACCTGTGATTATGGGTTATTACAGTGAGGTTAGGTTGTATCATCCCAAGCTTTTCTTAAGCTCATCGCTGGCCACTGAAATCTCGTTTGGCATGAGCTGGTGAACATCCTGCATGGAAGATCATAGACTCAAAGAATAGTTTGGGTTGGAAGGGACCTTTAAAGGTCATCTAGTCCAACCCCTCTGCAACAAGCAGGTCCAGCCTGACCTCGAACGTTTCCAGGGATGGGGCATCTACCACCTCTCTGGGCAACCTGTATCAGTGTTTCACCGCTCTCATTGTAAAAAAATTCTTCCTTTATCTAATCTAAATCTATCCTCTTTTAGTTTAAAACCATTACCCCATGTCTTGTCACAATAGGCCCTACTAAGTATTATTTGTATGTATCATGGAGTGTGGCTTGGCAACTACATCATCCATATTCCCTCAAGACTCTGGGATGCATCTCATCAGGTCCGATAGACTTATGTATGTTCAGGTTCCTCAGGTGGTCTCAAACCTGACCTTTTTTCACAGTGAGAGGGACTTTGCTCCCCCCGTCTCTGCCTTGTGGTCCATCTACTTGAGAGGTGTGGGAAGAGAGGTTGCCAGAGAAGACTGGCTCAGCTCTGTCCTATGCTTCTGCTGCTTCTGTTTTTGCCCTGGAGCAAGTCTGTGGGAAGCAAATAATAGCTGGCTGTTAGTGTCTTTAAGTTAAAGCCTCCTTGTGCCTTTGCTGTTCAGGTTTCTGTTTGATGCAAAAATCACTATAGACAGCTGTTGGGTGAGGAAAGACCCTGTTTCATCTGATAGCTTTTACCTGGGAAAATATTTGTGTATCTTCTCGCATCTCTTTTTCCAGGGCCTGTTTGTCATTTCAAGTCATCAGTGTTGTAACCGGGCTGAATTGATGGCCTGGCTTGTAGCATCACATCACTGGAGAGCTGGTGCAAGATCTACCAGACAGACATCTGTATCTTAGCCTTGAATAGAGGTTGGCAGCTTCCTTGAGGTGAATATTTCAGCCCTGCAATAGAAGTGGGAGAGTCCATAGTCCATTGCAGGGCATTTGGGATTCTGCAGGAGCACAGTGACTGTACAGAGGGTAGTCCTGTCTGTTAAAATGCCACTCGTGGGGTGGAAGGAGCTACGTTCTAGGCTGGCTGCATCACCCAGGACAAGTCACTTTGTTCCTTTGCGCCCTGTCGGTGCTCTCTGTTTGGTGGTACCTCTCCCAGCTGCCAAGGGCAGCGGTGAGGGACGAAGCAGTGTTTACCAACCTCTTTCACGTTCCTTGATGGAAACTACACTATAAAATTTTATGCTGTTTAAAGTGATGGTGTTACTCAAGGATAATAACAGCAAGTGATACACGGTTGTTACTGTGTGATTTCACTCCCTGCTGGTAGCCGACCTGTTAGCCACTCACAAGTCAGTGCTCCAGCAGATAGAAACCGTGCGGACACAGAGAAGGCAATCTGTACTCTTATCTGCTGTGTTAGTATGGAGACCAGATGAACTTCAATGGGTAGCTTATAAATCCTCCGAAGGATTTTGTTTCCTTTTGCTGGTTGGCAGCAGCTGTTGATGCTAATAGTGGCATGTTTGGAAGTGATAAGACAATGGGAGTGATGGACCAGTTAGTCACCTGGAGGTTAAAAGACTCCCAGCAATGTACTTGTGAAGTTTGGTACGTGGGTGCTTTGTTGATTTAAAATAAAAGTGAACTGTGGAGTTAGAATGCAAGCTGAATTCATCACAGATGTCTGTGCCGAAGAACTTCCAGCCAGGTTTGTCAGAGAGGGATCAGCTGTGATCAGACAAAAATGATTTCTTATTTTAGACGCTTGTATGCTGTGAGATTTTGTGGCACATCCCGGTTGCCCAGATCTCTCTCAAAATTATTTCCCTGGAAATCTTAACACAGCCCCTGAGGTGCAGAGAGATGATTTCTCAGTGTCTCGTATCCTATCTGTCTGGTAAGGGAAATGGGAGATTTTAGCTGATCAGAGTGTATAATTTCCACCTGTTTTGTACCTGTTCTGTGTTTGCTGCAGCGCGGTATCAGATCTGGCTCTCTAATGGGGTGGTGTGGGATGAGCCTTTCTGGGCTACCTGCAGAACTTCACAGAACATCTTGAACAGACTCAGAGTCTTTTTCTCTGCCCAGTGTCTACTGCTGCCTGACTAGTGGAGAAATTAGCTCACATCTGAAATCAATTCCATTTTTTAATTGACTCGGTGGTTTTCCTGTAGATTTACTAGCCAGATCTCCTCTATTGTCTGGAGTAACATGGCTGAAACAGAACAAGAGAGCTAACAATGTTAGAAGAACTAGCTGTGTGTTAGAGCCCAGTGTCCCAGAGCAGATCTGCTCAGAAGTTGAAGAAAATCCTTTTCCTTACGCTGTTTTGTAACAACAGTTGCACTGTTTCCCCCCCACCCCATATGTAGATTCAGTTCAAATTAATAACTCAGGCATCCACCAAACAGCAGTGCAGCCTGTCTTTTTGAAACTTCTTGCTGCGAAATCTTTTTAAACTAACACTAGTAATCAGTCTTCTGAACTATATCGCCTTTATGTTATAATTTTAGGAAGTAAAGGGTCCTTTTCCTTAGCTCTGTTAGGTGTGCCTTGATGGTTTGAAGACACATGGCGGGTAACACTTTGTCTAGCAGTGCTTTCTATGCATGAGAAGAGCTGGTGTTCTTTCAGTATTACTTGTCATAAAAACAATTTAAGGCTCAAGTCTGAGTAGCTTAGAATCATTGTCGCGTGTGTTTTTAAAATTTCCCCTCCCCACCCCCATACAAATGATTTTATCTGTGAAACTGAAGGGGAATATCAAACACTTATTTTGGGAGTTATCTGAGACGTTTTTGGCTTGCTGTGGAATTGCAAGGTCTTGTAGGTCCTACAGAAATAATACCCCAAAGCAATCATGACTTCTTGGCTTTACGTGGAACCGGTGTACTGGTGTCTCTCTGCCCAAAGAAGGTATGTGGGTACCATCTGCAGGGTTTGGATTCACCCAGTCACTTACATCATGATTCAGCAAAGCTCATCCATGCCTTTAAGCACAAATAGTTTTCTGGTAGTCTGCAGGGCTCAAAAGCTGGAATTTAGGAAGAAATGTGAGTATCTTGTTGAAAAAATGGCAAAGAAAAAAAACTCTATATTCTGATAATAATACACTTACTATAAAACCTATTCCTATACCCACTATGAATCATTTCAGGGGAGCACTTTGCTGTTGAAATAATTCTGGTTAACTAAAAACTACTATTAGTGACAATCATGTTGGACAAAAAAGTAATTTTGACAAAATGAAAGGACATGGATTATGAGATGTTGTAACTGCTGAAAAAGCTGTTTTCTGTTAAGAGATTCGACAGAACATATTGTCCCCAAAAGACAGAAAAAGACCTGAATATTTAACTAGGTGAGCTTCTCAGAACTGTTTTTCAACAAGTGACTTTGTCATGCTGGTCTGGGAGGTTGTGATGGGACATTTGAATGGATGTTTGGCATCTTTAGCTGGTTTTATAATTACTACCTGTCAGTATTTACGTGATTTCGAACATTGTTCCCATGAAATAATTAGTCTTGTGGAGTTTGGGGAGTTCATAATCCTATTATATTATTGAAATGCTGTGTGTGCTTCTCAGTTACTGTGGTTTACTTTTTAAGACTGGGGAACTGGAGAATTTTATAGACTTGGGCTAATAAATCAACAAAATATTCATCTGAGTCATTCTTTGGGGAAACTGAGCTGTAGCTGCCTCATCTGAGTTGCAGTAACTTAATCAGGACACAAGAGTTTGAACTTTGACTCAGACAAAACCTCTTTCTTAGCTCTGCATATGGTGGGGATGCTGGTCTTGCCGTGCCTTTGGGAAAGAGGTGCCTCCCAGCAGAGGTCCGTTAGCGTGCTGGGACACGGGCTCGCTCCCAATGCAGGAAGGACATCAGCCCGTGGAGTTCCTGCTTGTCCTGGGTATCTCCGGAGAGCCCCAGTCTTGCTTTGCATGGGAGGTCTGACAAGATGAAGGACAAAATGGTCTAGCTTCAGGCATTTCTCTAATATTTTTTCTATTTCTGTAATGTCAGATTTGGTCTAGTATAGCAATCCCTCCAGACGGGCCCAGCTCACACCGCATTTCTGTGTGTTTTGTCTCGGTTTTGTGTCCAAGAGGATTTCTCATTTCAGGGAAGATCAGTACATTCAGTTGACATTTTTAGCTCTCTGCCTTTCTTCCCCTTTGGAAGACACCAGTGTAATAGATCATTAATGTGTAGAATTTAAGGGACCTTTTCTTCTTTTCTCTCTTTTCCCTCTCCCTTCCCTTTTTCTTTTAAATACAGAAGGAATTAGAGAACCAAATTTTGAGTATTTTAACTTGAGTTTTACACTGCTTACTGATTGTTCCTTTGGAATGAAGACTTTATAAGGAAGTGATTTGGTTGCTTCCTTGGCCCCACCCCACAATTAGGGCTTTTGCTATCCTAATGCTCTAATTTGATACTTTTGAAGATATCTTTTAAACACAGGCAGTGGTAACGGAAGCACCTGGACATGACTACCCATGAGGTGTGGTCTGAGCATAGTTTCTTATTTCTTCCTTACTGCGTTCTCAAGTTGGATTTTTTTTTTTTTTTTTTTTTCCAAGTAATTGGAAATTCTCTTACAGAGGAGGGCCAGAGGACCCTCATAACCTTTGGAAAGTTGAAAGCGTTTCCAGCTGGCAGTTTATCTCCATTGACTCTAGGTTGATGGTGGGCTTGTAAGGGCTAGTTTGGAAGTTGTCATCTAACTCGGGGGAGGTGGGTTCCCCCAGTGATTTTACTATCTAAATTCTGAAACGGAAGCATTGGTCAGGTTTGAATTAAATATGCTTACTCAACAGTAATTTTTGTGTCATCAAGTTAAGCAGTTTGCTGTGCATTGCTGATGACCTATTAGCTTCTCCGTAGATTTAGGAAGGGGAGACATGTACAGCATAGATGTTTTTACTATTTCTTTTTATTATACTCTTCACCTTGAAATATTTGCGCCGAACATGCTAATATGCTGGAAATGAATAATTTGCTTCACAGTGAACAAGACGAGTAGGGCTATATCCAAACACAATACTCCTTGTACGCTTACTAAAAATTTGATCTCACAAACAGAACCATTGATATCTGTTGAGATTGGAACCTGTTACTTAGGCAGGAAAGTACAATTCAACATGTGCTTCATTTATTTCAAGTGTGAAAATTTCCGGGCCAGTAAGGATGTGTTCCACAGCAGTTCACTGTCAGATATGGTGACGACACCACTCAGCCCTGTGCAGGATGATGTATTCTGGAGCATGAGTCAAAATGAAGAAGAGCCCCCGAAGGTATGTGAAACTCGGAGTGTTTGGCACTGTCGGTGGTTAACAGCACTCTCCTCGGTTCCCCTGCCGTGTGCAGCATCCATCCTCTAGACTTCATGAAACGCAGTGAAAATCTCATTGCTTGCACATTAACTGGTTCTCAGTAATCTGGAAAGAAGATACAAATTATTAAGCAGGTCAGTGTTCCGTGTACCTGTCTATCTGTGAGATCTGTGAATGCAGATGCACTTCTTTTGTTAGACCAACTATTTGTAGCTGCCCTTTCTGTGAAAAATCTGGCTCATTGCAGAAAAGCTCATTAGTTTGTGTAATTCTGGTGAGAGTGTTTTTCTCTTTTTAATAGAACTTCTAAGAACAAGTACAAGAACATTTGTGCGAGCATGTTCATGTGCATGTATTCATTTTATTACTTGGGGGTGGTGTGTGTCTCTTCCACCGGCCCCGTGACAGCAATATTAGGTAGTCCACCTCCTGTGGGGAGCTACATTAGTGACTGCAGGTGCATTTCACTGCCTGC